ATGAACTAACCGCAGAGATGGGGTGCTCTGATTAAAATGTTGATCAGTGTCGTGAGCTCAGGAGCAAGAGACGGCGGGGGGAGACGGAGTTACGTAAGATGTACTGGAAATTATTTATGGTATATAGCATGCGATGAAACCGGCAGAGGCCAACAGGGAATGAAAAAGTCAAATACATTTGAAAATGCGATTGGTGATGTAGTGTTTANGTTTATGCATCATTCTTCTCGCTTCCAGGTAAGGCTAACAACGGTTTATGCTGTTGCCACTTTTCATTATTATATAGATTATTTTGCTCTATATCGGAATTTGCTGATTACGTCACATATTTTGCATGACACGGCATCTAGTGTATCTTATGTATCATTACCCTTCTCATTGGTTACCGATATTCCACGACAGTTTAATGAATCTATCCCATCTTCCTACTGTTGTTTCAACTAAACGTAGGCTTCTAATACCCCACACGTCTTCCCCAATAAGTGTCTTTAACCTTTTCGTTCTCGCTTTCCCGCACCTGCCACCTTTGTAAACTGAGTGACATTCAGTCAATGAGATGTCTGTAGTATTTCGGTCGGATGAATGTGACCACCTGATTCGATAAATAGAAAAGCACTTTCTTCCACGAAACCTTCTACATTTTCCATCATTTTGTATTCAATTTTTTTCCATTTTATGATATCAGAAATATAAATCAAAGTAAATATCATGAACATTATGAATGGATACTATCAGCAGACGGTAATTTAACTTTTTGAAGTTTTCCATAGGAACATCAAAAGAAAAACAATATAGCGAACAAGCCTGCTTTTGGAACTTTTTCTTATGACATTTACAGTTTGTGTTTCTCTCTCTATTTATATATATATATATATATATATATATATATATATAAATGACGTAGAAACGAATGCGATTAGTTCCTTAAATTAAATCGCTAAGAATATAAATGTTTGTCAAGTTCGACAGTAGTAACTTGAGAAAGCGCGGCGAACTAAGGTCAGCTATGGAAAATTTCGATGGTGCTCTAATCCCGCGCAGTGTAACAATCCGTTTCGTCAGCACGACGTAATTCAGGTTTTGGTTCGGTTTTTCAAGTAGATTTAGGCGGGGCGAAGGCACCCGGAGTGAGGCAACTATTGTCTTCTATTCGCATAGTGGTGGGTTTAGACTTTTCATTGCCACTGCTTCTGCTGTTGCTAGTTGATGTTTCTTGATGTAATTCTACCTGCCGAGAGGCACTTTGTATCATTGTCTATCAGGAGCCTGGTAACAGCGAATAGGGCTACAGTTGCACTGACTGTTGTTCTCTTGCATCTCTTGCTTATTGAGGCCGGTTTATTTTATCTCATCGTGCCTTTTGCTCCTCTGGTGGTATGTAATTTATACTGATAAATATATGCGGAATGACAATCGTGTTCCGTGATCGATCGCTGCTATTATTCTCGTGAAGATTGCGCAGCATCGTTTCGCCGATTTCGGAGTAGACCTCGGATTGGCCAATGAGCTGATCGTACTGCTGACAATCACGTGAACGCTACTCTGGTATGTACTTCTCATATCGATGCTGGCAAATAAAGGAGTGCTGCGCTGCTAACGATCTTGTCATTTGGATTGTGAATGGTTCGTCGCCACAAACTACTTCTGAACTTCATAAGATCAGTTGAGTGAACAAACACCTGCGCGTGCTTCTAGGATTGCGGTTTATTTCGCACCTTTGTTTCTCGACGCAGAGCATGCCTTCAAAGTATCCCTAACATCCATTCAATTGAGACTGTAATCCTGTGGCAGACCACCCTTTGGAGACTTTTCATTTTGGTTGTCTTCATTATATGGTTTGATATGAATTTTCTGTAGTGGTGTATTTTTCCCAAGTGCTTTTTTTGATTTCCGGACGTTGAGAAGTATCTGGATAACTG